AGATTTACCTTTAGTGGGCGGGGCCTGTGCAGATCATTAGCTGTTGCTGAATTTTGGACGCTCTCATGTTTACATATCCGACAAATATTTGAGTTGGTTATCTCTGTCCTCTGCTCCACTAAGATCGCGCGCTCTGCACGGGGGCCCCACCATGCGTTGCAGAAAAACCGCGACCCCAAAAATCTGACCTCGGGGCCCGATGAACCCTCCTTACCATCTTGTCTTGAATTGTATTGTGATTGTAAATGTCTTCCTCATATTGTACAGTGCTGCGCAAACTGTTGGCGCCATATACATCCTGTATTATAATAATAAACAATTGGTGGTGACAATAAAGCGGCGCAGGTTGCGACATTCATACCACCGCGACTAATGAATGATGATCGGCCATGTGACTTCCTGCGGAATGCGTCACATGCGGCAGAAATCAGTGATATGTCCTGTGGGTGTCGCAAATTGTGTGTCGCGCATTTCAAACGATCGCATGTTCTCTACGTGCGTAAATCACCGTATTGGTGCGCAGGGCATGTGGCGGAGGATTCGCAGATATTTGTATCGATCATATAAACCGCCATCGCCGCGTCATCATCAGAACGTTCCTCGGAATCTGTGACTTTTTTTATGCATCAAATTCCTTCCTCTGTCACTGCGCACTGCGCGCGCGCCTCACAATGTGCATCAGAAGCCGCAGCAAGTCAGACCGAGCCGCCTCATCTCCTGGCTGGAGGACGTCCGGCATCACGATTACTCTTCAGTATTACCAATATAAAGAGGGCGACCTATAAATGAGGGGACGGCAGACATGACGGGGGTCCCATTCTTAGCACCCCAGAAATATTTTATATTCATGTTTTTTAATAATGGGCACAGCAGACCCGGGAACTGGATTACGATGATATGTCTCTTCCTCCAGGGATGTCGGGCTCTTCTCTTCTCCTCGTCACCCTTCTGGGTCTCTCGGGTTTGGTGAACTCAGCGGATAATGAAACGAGGTTCTGTAAGCCGGCTCCGCGGTGGGCCATCGGGGGTGAGGCGCCCATGCTGCAATCCTACGGCCAGGTCACTGTGGTCGCTCTCCTACAAGCCAGCTGCGGCTTCTGCCTCGTTCAGGCTGCAAAGTAAGTCTCTCCGTCATCAGAGGTCCGTGTCGGTAGGAACAGTTCCAGTGCCGTGCGCCAACATGAACCCAAAACCCGACCTCTGACCCCAACACCCAACAGTAAATGACATTAACCCCTTGTACTGCGGGGGTCACGGGGGCAGCCATGTACTGTATGCAGATAAGCACTTCTGAGATCATTCCGACTTCACTGGCTGCATGCTTGCTAGTGACACAGAACGTACTGAGGTTCTGTACCGCTCCAAAATGGGGAGTCCTCCCCCCCCCCCCAGGACTCCCCCCCCCGAGCCCCCCCACCTTTAT